CCCCCCGCCCCAAAGAACATAGTTCCCTCACGGGTCAAAGCTAGTGGAACGCACGGTTTGGTTCACGGAGGTTAGAGACGAGGTGATCTGGCCCGAGGGTACGAGTGAGGGCATGTAGACCGGAAGTAACGTCACACCCGCGTGGCTCTGAATGCGCATACCGGATGTGTGGCATCGGCTCCCCATCAGAACCATCAACATCACATTCACGATTCCCGCACATCGCATCACAGTCTACACGCACGCTTCGCCATCGTCTCCACGTTGACCTCACTGAGATTACTCCTCTCTCTCTTTCTCTTTTTATCTTTTTATCTTTTTCTTTGTCCCTTCCACAGCCATGGCTATGACTGTTCTTCAGTTGCCATTCTCTGGTGCCGACACTTCCCTTGATATCCCATCATTTTACATGCTCATATTGGACTAGATGATAAATCATCATTGTTGTATATATATATATATATATATGTATATATGTATAAATAGTTTATATACGATTTCAAAGGACAAAACGTCCTGATAAAGCGTTCCCACTAAATTATAGGTTAACTCGACCAACTGATAAAGTCACGAATATTACTAAACTTAACCGACCAACGTAGTACATAATAGTAAATTAGTATTCCGCAAACGCGCAGTCAGCGCTCACGGGTATAATTACCGAGTCCGTTAATTGGTTGGATTCCGTCGAACGAGAAAGGAAGATTCGACGTCGGTATGCATATACGTGTATACATAATGATACGCAGAGGGCCCGGTGAGAGGACTGGAGTAGAATTGGTACGCGTCTCTGTAGGCCAATGCGAACCACTTTCGGCACTTCGATCTCCTGCTTTTTGCGTAAAATACTCGTTCCTCCGTATATACAGGCTAAGATACGTGAGTACCTGGAGCAGGTATTTGCCATACAGGTACGAGTTGACAGGTGCCATTTCGCCTAAACCAACACACCACGTGAAACGTACCTAGCCAATAGACACTGGTAACCTAGGACAGCTGAGATTTGAATTTTTCGAGGGTTCCGAAAAAGGAGAAAAAACGTTCATAACTATGTCATCCAGTGCCCATCGATTACGTATTGTCCTGTATGAATCTGAAATTATGTTCACTCCTTATCTCTCTCTCTCTGAAATACCACAAGAGAGATTTCCTCTAGAGCGCGCGCTCATAAAAAAAAAAAAAAAAAAAATCTAGAATCGGTGAACAATGCTGACAAGGTATAAGTTGAACAAACGTCGGCGCGATCCTCAAACATCGGCGACAGGCGGCTGCTTTGATCGTCCGTCGGCCCGTTAGCGAGAGCGGGACACCGAAGAACCTTCTAGAACATTCTCGTTCGTTCGCCACCTCCCGACCGCCACGCTTGCTCACCTCGGCGTACATCTTCTTCGAGAGCATCCGAACTCTTGTGTCCAACAGGATGACGTATATATGTACGCGCAGCACCTTTGCCAGGCACAACATTCGTCTCCTCTTTACTCACCTTTTCCAATTATTATCTCTGTACACTTAGCCATACGTATAAAGCCGAGTACACAAGTGAGCGACGCTCGCGTGCCTCTACCATGTCTTTCTCTCTCTCTATCTCTGAAGCATTCCCATTGTACGTCTCTCTTCACTCGCCATTATCTCCTCTTTGAACAGTGTCCCCAACCTGTCCCATTCATAAGACTGGGGTCCCGTCCGAAAACGTACCTTGGCTATTCTACCTTACTATCGTCCAACTACAGAGAATCGACTGTAGGCCCTGTTATCTACAATTGTTTAAACAACGCGCCTATGAGGATCAGACATCTTTACAAAGAAATAATAGAGGACACGATTATTTGGCTAGGGAGAATAAAAATTAAGGGGATCTCTATGATTTTTGAGATTTTTTTTTTTTATGGAATTATTCTCTCTGGTGAAGTCAATTTGTAGGGACGTATTGATTTTGTTCTTGGGGGATCTTATACGGTTTTTGGAAATACGCGGACTTTGCTTTTAGTACTGTCCGAGTCATTCCCAGTCTCGGGGTTGTATATTTTGGTTTATAGTGGGGGGCACCCGGGATTATCCCCCTGGTTGTCTGTGGCTCTCGGACGGACCTGTGGCTTACCGACTGGACTGTACTTTTACGCAGGGAGATACCACGAAACAATGCAAGACAAGCGTGCAAATATGGGCGCGCACCTCAAATGGGACATTCCAATGTTTCTTGGTATTGTTTCTACCGAAATGGACGGGCTCGTTCTTCATTATACCGTCGGATTGACGTAATTTATACCACCATACTTGGGGAATACTCTGCCCTTTTGCTATGCTTTAGCTGGCCAATGCCGCCGTAACTCTCGGCTAAAAAGTCACATTTCACTTGATTTCGCGTCAAATGTCACTTTCACTAAAGACAACCTTACGGGTGACAAATGTTAGACAAACGTAAATATGAGGTAAGATCTATACCAAAGGAAGGGAGAAGGGGACTTCCTTAGGGATGCTGATAGATTTGCAAAGTAGACGCTGCTGGGATCTTAATGGGATACAGAAGTAGCACGTGGTGACCAAGATGAATGAAAAGTCCAAAAAAAAATTGAAAAAAAAAATCATGAGGAGTCTCGACGCGAGATGCATGACAATTTGGATGCTCGAGAAAGCGACACACGACACATGCTCGACTAATGTATGCGATGAGACGAGTGGAAAATATTTTTGAAAAAATTAAATTTTTTTTCACAGCTTGTAAACGTAAATAATGCTGGGACACGGGGATCGCGAATGTCCCTTGCCATTGGTTGGGCTCGTTTACGGGTGTTTTGGTGGAGGTTCGTTATAACGAGACTGAGGGGTGGAGCAGAAATTATCTCGGGATGCAGTTGTCGAAATTTTTGAAAAAAACATACGAGACGCCTGGTGGAAAATTTTAAGTCAGATAAGAAAATTGCAGTTATTTATTTTTCCAGACCCGAGGCAATGGTCGGAGACAGCTGTGGCGCACTGGCTGCACTGGGCCATCAGGGAATTTTCGCTGGAGGGTATTGCCATGCAGCCCTGGCAACACATGACGGGCAAGCAGATTTGCGCCATGGGTAAGGAATCCTTCCTGGCGCGTGTTCCTGCCTTCATGGGAGACATTCTCTGGGAACACCTGGAGATCCTGCAGAAAGGTATACGTCATGCATATAATTTTGAAAAAAAAAAGAAAAAAGGTAAATTCACCTTGGAAGAGTCTTTGACAATTTTATACGGTATTATACAGTACATGGGAATACGTATTGATTACCAATCGATTTGACTTTTTTTTTTTTTTTTTAATCCTTTCTTAGCTATAAGAGCGGAGTACCGATATCCGCTCGACTGTCTTATACTGATTTGCGAAACGTTACTTTTCCTTGCTCCGTGTACCGAGATAGGCAGGTTGCTATGGAGCGAGGACAATAATAAAAAAAAAAAAAATTTTTTTTTGGGGGAAAAAAAATTATCTAGGTACTCTGGCACTACATCCTGTCATCGCTCGAAAAACATATCGAATTTCCGTAAAATCGCGATGTCGCGGCAGGTATGGGAAAAAAAGGCTCGCGCACAATGCTCGCCGCCCGTACGAAAGATGCTTGAATCAGTTCGGAGTTTTTATTTCATGAAGGCGAATGTAAAGGTGGAGGAGGGTAGGGAAAAAAAAAACCTGCCATAGAAACTCACACTCCGGATGTCCTGTGCTCAAGAATAGGCGGAGGCTTACTTGGCCACTTAGGTGGTTTTTCGATGCACCCTCTATATAGGTATAGCTGTACATAAACCACTGCTCAAATATCGTGTCTATGATTACCGTAATACAGGAGTTTCTATGAATTTCGAAAAATGCCCCAAAAAAAAGGAATTATCAATCTCACAGGAGATTAACGTACAACGTATACCAACGAACGCACGTGCGTGCACCCTTGAGAGGTTAGAAAATTATTTTCAAAAAAAAGTGAAAAATTTTTTTGAAAAAAAAATTTTTCTCTTCGTATCTTACGTTTATTCGAATAATTATTTCTTTGAAATTCTTTGAATTTTTTTTCTCAAAATTCCAAGAGAAAATCTCCGATCGCGCAAGAGGGATACTCGCTTCGGTGATGCAAACAATAGCTGGGTTAAAATAAAGTGAGAACCAAAGTCGCAGAACGACAGACAGGCAGGAAGCATAGGTTCACCCATGATTTAACTGCCGTTAAGTAAAATTCTCCGTGTTTCCTTATCGCATTTACCCAGCCTAACCTGACCCATCGAGCGAGAGAGCAATTTTAATTGGAATTGCCCGATTCGAAATAGCGGTTTTCCATCTTCCTAGAAACGCCTTCTTGTCCAAGTAGTACTTTGCACGTATATAGGTATACCTACGTGTATCGTTATCGGACCAAATCCGAAGGAGTGTGTGAAATTTTTTTTTTTTTCAACTTAATCTAGCACATTTTTTTACTCTCGATTCTTACACTTTCTTCTTCGGATCAATTGGCACGCGAATTACATCTACGATGCAGGCACTGCTAGGAAGCAGGAAGAGAGGGGAGATTCGTACGCGTGATGTGGCATGGCCGTGGGTAATCGCTTCGATTCCTCGAAGGAGAACGGATATTAGGAAAGCGTAGTTGGTAAGGCGCGAAATAAGATAGAGAAGACAAGAAAAAAAGAGACAAAAAGCTGTGTAGAAACTGAAAAGCTGTATCCTCTTGTGAAAAAAAAAAAAAAAAGACTTGTCAACGTTTCAGGTTATGTGCGACAGCCGTTGCTTCGTATAACGCGCGCAGGGACTTCTGGGTAATCTGAATAATACGTATACACGGCATTGTTCTATCCGCGCCTTACTTGTCGCTTATACTGGAACTCCAAGCGCTCCCGGTCGGTAATGTAGGTCGAACGAGTGGGCCGTTTACACCATTACTGGACGGACTCTGGTCGTTCTTGGTTTAACGCGAAACCGCGAGAATCGCGGCCGCCCGGAAATTCCCCACGATGAATCACATCGATTACCCAGGACAGCGTTGACAGCGACGTATCCCATTGAATCGTGCCTCGCGCGATACACTTTCCTCGTTCTGTGGCTTTAAAGTAATATTAATAGTCTCTTTGTTCCGCCATCTTGGTTCCGATTGACTTGAAACTGCCGAGTGAAATTATTAATATAAGTTACGTTTTACATTCTTCGAATAATTCGGGCACTTTGCCAAGTGCTTAATATATATATATACAAACTTTACGGGATTCGGAAAATTGTCAGCCAAAATGGCGCCGATTTTACGTGCACTCGCCAACACGGTCAACGTGACGAGACGGTATGGTGGTGAAATTAAAAAAAAAAAATCGTATAACGATACGATACAAAAGAGTGACGACTCTTTTGACTGTACCGCGTTCGAAATTACGTAATATCAACTTAGGCACGGTTTAATAATATCTTTGATCCGCCATGGGTTTCCGACTTCGTAGAAGGTCACGCGTAGCGAGTCTATCACTGTCCGGAGATACCTTGATAAAGACTTCGTGACTCTTTATGTCCTTTCCCAAAATAGACGTGGACGTCGAGAAGGCCTCCCTGGAGAACGTACCGGCAAACCTCTACGAGAGCGTCTGCGTGCCCGACCTCGGTGAGTTTCTGGGTTACCAGCCCGTGGGGAACGTGTCCACCCCGGAGCACAAGAGTCCAGGTACCCCAGCAAGCTCAACCACTTCGACGTCATCAGGGCCAAGAAGCACAGCGACCCAGGCACCGATTCCCTCATCCGCACCGGTCATTCCTCTGCCTCCAAGGCATTACCACAATGAAGGTGAGTTCTCATTGCAATTTACCTATATATATCTACGCAATTCCCATTGCTCCACGCATCCGATCCGCGCAACTCGAACGGATCCGATTTAATGTAAAATATGTGTATTCACGTAAACATCGCGGAACGTGGCTTCCTCGGGTTCCTACCGTAGCTCCCCGGTACACAGGGAGAAGGTGGAATTGCGTAAACTCTGCTTTAAAATTTTCGTCCATCGCGTGCTCACGTGTCTCTCGGCGAGCAAGACACTATTTATCCTTTACATTCGTCTGTGCAATACGAACGAAAGCGTTGCGATGCTACGAAGAAGTTTCTCATAGTTACGTCAGATCCGATAGGTATCTCTGTTGGGTCAGCAGCAGAAACACGAGTTACCGACTGAGACTGGTTACATGATTTTTCGTATTTTAAAGAATTTTCAGCACGCTCGTCAAACGAGTAAAAAACGAAGAATTTATAGACTCGTAAATTAATTCGTACTAATTCGACTTCCGATTGGTCTCTTAAAGGCGAATATAAAAATATATTATTTGCCGAATAATTGTATATGCGAGAATTTTGTCGATCGGATATTTTGAAAAAAAAAAAAAAAAAAATATTTTTTTGATAACGACCTATCATAGATTTTTCATAGTTTCGGTTCGTCCGCCCCTCTTAAAACCGTGGCGCAGTGCTCGCGACCAGACGACGTGTCCTTATCAATGGAGATAACCAGCAGCATTACCCCACGCTCGGGCGCGGAGCACTTATACATCATAAACCAACTGTTCGTAGTCGTAGGTAAGAATTACCTAGCCTTACGTCATCAGCAGTGACCGTGGGTGAACGAGGGAAAGCCGGGGCTTGCACGCTTCGCCGCGGACAATGGAGATTCCCCGACGCCGCTTCTGCCTCCGGGCTATCCGCTCGTAACCGCGACGACGTCGAGCGTCTATTATTCCGTAGCGTCGATGACTCCACCGAGCGCTCCGTGCGTATAACAAATATTAGTGAATTTCAAACAGTCGTGGTTACCGACTATGGGAATTCTCATAGGAACCTCCGGTTCCGTAATTTTCTCGCAAATTTATATATTTTTTAATTTATCCTAATCGACCGTATACGCTAAAGGTACCGCGTCACGTGTACGAGGACGGACGTGGATATAGATGAAATTTTTCAAAACAATAAGAAACCAGGAAAAATGACGAAATTGAGTTTACTGGATGGTGACGCAAAGGTGGTCGTCTGCACGGGGAACCTAGGAGGCATGTGGGGCAAGTTAAGTTGGACGGAGTCATTATTTCTGCTCGCTGGCTCCTGTTACATTATGGTATCGTCGGCTCCTCGAGGCCTCGTGGAGTTAAGACTCTCACTTATCCTCGCTTTCGACGTCTTCTCCACGGAACCGATCCGCGCGCTGGGCAATTCGGTTCCAAAGCGAAAAATTCCACCTGCACCCTCGGCGAATCTTATTTGCCGACTTTTAACCTATTTACATGTAACTACTCGCGCGGGCTATGACGATCTCTCACGGAAGCTCGCCCGTGATGTTAGACACTTGTACTGTACTTGACTACGTCACGATATAGATTTACGTATACAGTCGGAGTATTTACCAACCCGGTACAAGACCTTTCTTCCTGGAATTCTCAGGTACGGCTGGGTATCTTATAATTCCAGCAGCCAGACCCAATCGCCAAATAATAGTTCGTGGCTTCGGCAGACCGATTATCGTACGATTCGCAGAAGGGTGCAGTCTTATGGGCCGATTTTATGAAAAACGGTAATACGTATTAGTTCACTATTCTATACGAGGGACGTATACGATAGGATGACAAATTTTCAAGAATCTCTTTTCCCTTTATCAACGACCGACAGATACACGGCCGACCGTTCCTGGGCTGTTTTCCTCAAGTATTCCTCAAGGGCTGTTCTCATGGGTTTCGACGCGGTGGGTGGCGACACGTGTCTCGTATCGCGTCGCTCGCTCGTCCGCGGCGACAGGGACAAACGACGACCGAGCGACGGACGACGGGACGCGCACGGACGTCGTCGGTTTACTGACCACGCGTACCGAAAAAGGATCGTACCCCGGTGACGTCATCGCTCCTTTACGGAAATGCTTTAGTCAATCAACCCAGCACGCATCGCAATAATATATTAAGCAATCGGCACGAGCTCCCTGGCCAACCTCGACTGGCCATTATATCCGAGTGGCGTCGATAGCACGAATACAAATGTACGTGAGTAACAAGTACGTAATTACATAGCAATTTTTATGTGTCGCTCAGGACCAATCCGTAATTGCAAATGCATTGCGAAACAGCACAAGTTTTCCTCGGAGCCTACTCCGAACCCGTTGGTAGAACTACGAGTTCAGGAACAACCCCCTGAGTCCTTAATGATCGAAAAAAAAAAAATTTTCTCAAAATACACGATACGATAAGCACTGGGTGGTACGAGTGTAAAATTTTAATTTTATTCATGAACCTCCATTTTTTTTTTCTTTTAATGCGAGCACCCTACGGCTGCCATTTTTTACCCCTACTCAAAGACCCTATGCAGTTACACCACGTACCCATTTACAGTACCAGCAAAAATTGTCCAATAGCTGGCAAGGCCCGGGCCTGGGTCCCCCTTGCCGGGTCGTCTTCATCCAAGTGACGAGGCGACGTCCTCCGGTACGTCCGTACGACGTCGCACGCTTCCTATTGGTCGCGGATCACGTGCCCAAGGGGCAAACACTCGTAACGTATTTACCCTCTTGAAGTAGCTGGACAAGCTTACGCGCATCTGCGTCCTCTCCCTATAGGAGAGCATATCTTCGTAAGGAGAGTGCTGAAGTGAGCAACAATGCAGGGGAGAAGCCTCTTTGCCGGGGTGATGTATATACCCGGCTAGGCGGGGCGGGGGGGGGAGACATTAAGGGAGGAGCACTCGAGGACATTATAAAGCTATCTGCTATGAGGAATATTGGGGTAGGACCCCTTGGTGCTCCACCCTACTCTCGACTTCCGGTTGTAACGCGAGCTTCCAGTCTCTTCTCTATACCTACCCAACGACTAGCTGGCAGCAAGGAGAGGCTCGGGACGGAGCTGCGACTACCAACATAGAGAAGACCAAGACGACGATGAGTACGAGTATGCAAGCTCAGACGTCGTCTATGAGGTTGCAGAGCGGCTCGTTGGTACACGTGCGTGATCACGTACTCACGCACGCACAAACTGACACACGACTATGCAGCCACCACGTCGTGCCGTGCGTCCTGAATGAGTCGAGGCTTTGTAGTTTCTCGTACCATCCCCACCATCTCCGCCACTTGGTTCTTCTCCCTCTAGGAGGTCTCGCACTGTAGGAACTATGAATGAACATCCGAATGAATACAACCTGCGCCCTAAGCGCAACCCCTCGGATCCTCAAATTCTTAACCCCTACTTTTATTCTGTCCCGATGCTATTCTGGTACCGGGGGTACCCGTGTACCGAGGTTGCACCGAACTACGATCGACGGTACCCAAGTGCCATTATTGGTTATAGGGATCCCGATGCCTGGTGACGATTGATGTATGGCGAACGATGACGTCACAGACGGTTAGGTCTAACCTAACCTTGTCCGGTTCGGTCGTCCTGAACGTCACTGTCAAACTGGTACCTCCCCCACTAGTTCGCTACTTGGACGTACGTGGAGCATCCCTTAGAGGGTAAAGGAAACGTATGTCACGTAATTTCAATGTTGACGAAAAAAAAAAAAAAAAAAAAAAACCCCTAAGTACTCGTGAGCTTGCAGCCATGACTTCCGGTTTTATGGAACTTCAGATATCTTAAGATCGTTTAATAATGAGTTTGGTATGCCCGACAATTTGGGCCTTACAGACTGCTGGTGTCTGTAGGACGAGCGGCAGGTAAGGGAGGGTCGGTAGGGGGGTCGCTACAAGAGGCCGATTGTGAATCGGTGAATGAGTAGGGAGGCGGTAGAGGGGGTATAATGAAGTGGGGTAGTAGGCTAAGGGGTGTTTGCGGTTGGAGGTAAGGCCGAGCAAAAGGTAAGGATGAAAGTGGAGGTGGAGCTGTGCAGCTCAGTAAAAAGACGAGTACATAAGGCACATTCGAGCTCGTGTCGTTATTGTGCAGCTTCGCCTTAAGTCCTATTGCCATTGCTGCCTGGCTGGGCTATAGGACGAATGAAGACACGAAGCGAAGGGGGGTGAGAGAGCACTTCCGGTCCCCTCTGTATCACGTGCGAGCCACCGTACGGATCCCCCCACCTCACCTCTCCACATCCGGTGCCCCCCTAACCCACCCCCTCCCTCCCCACTCTTCCTCTTCTCTACCCTAACCTATACCATGCCTCATTCTTCATCCTTCCTCTTTCATCCCCTCGGTCTTTTCCTCCCTCTGACTCTTCGTTCTCTCTACTCCC